CACCAGTAAAACAAAATTAATGACAAATTGTGTAAAAACCCCTATCAAACCTAAAAATGCAGCTGAATTAGAATACGTAAACGAATATACATACTTAGGCCAAATAATATCTCCTAAAGATATAACAACAAAGGAAGTGCAAAATAGGATAAACTTGGGATGGAAGAGATATTGGACACTGAAAGACATAATGAAAAATAATGATATACCTATCGAAGGAAAGAAGAAAATATTTAATACATGTATTCTACCAAGTATGACCTACGGATGTCAGACATGGAGCTGTACAAAGAAAAACATCAAATCACTGGAAATTTGCCAACACAAAATGGAGAGAAGCATACTAAACTTAAAAACAAAAGATAGAATAAGACTGAAAACAATCAGAAAACAGACCAAGATTATCGATATCACACACCAAATAAAGCAACTCAAATGGAAATGGGCAGGACACCTTACTAGAAGTAGAATAGAAAAGTGGACGAAAGAAGTGACAGAATGGTGTCCCAGATACAGAAATAGAAGGAAAGGCAGACAGTGTCGAAGATGGGAAGATGATATCAAGGCGGTTGCGGGGCCATGTTGGATGAGGACAGCAAGAGATAGAGAATTATGGAGAGGACTTGGGGAGGCCTATGCCAAAGGGCAAGACAATCACGTAACCGGTGTCTAACACAAACACATTAAAATTTATTATAAGTTGCATTTGAAAACGTTTATTAGTAATACATAGTTGAGTTGTAAAATTAAGATAAATGTAACTCTAAGATTGTTAATAAAGGCTTTTTATTATTATTATTATTGTATGTCTTTACCATTCACGGGACCACAGGGTCCCGGTCATTTGGGAGGCATGCGAGGGGCCGAAGCCAACTGCGCAGAGGCCCTTTAGACAACTTTAATATAAATGTAATGGACACACAAACCGGCGACTATCCCTGTATGCACTATGGAAATGCACCCAAGGACAGTCTCCGGTTAGTGTAAAACTATTGAGGATAATGGAAAAAAAGATAGGGCTATGGATGGGTTGCTGTGGACTGGAAAATTGGGAACTATGGATGACTATGGCACCTGCCGAAACAATGTAATTATTACACGTAAAAATGGCAGGCGGAGACTCGCCAACTCACCGACCGGGCCCCGGGAATGGCTGCTAGATATAGCAACAGAGGGGCAACGAGAATGTGAGTGGCTGAAGGGTTAAGAAACTACCACCGCTTTCTACTCAGATCATCTGCTCCAGCCGAAGCTTCCTGCATCCCTGGCCCACTCGCGACTTACGAATAGTTTCTTACCCTCCGAGCAGGATCACTGCTCTCGCGACTCCACTCTGGACGGCCAATGAAGGCAAGCCAGAGGTGGGAGACCTGTTCCTTGTCATCGTTCACTCCAGCCAGCCAATTAAGGCAAGCCGGAGAAGAAGGAACGGTGACTTCTCCCTGGAGCACTCGGGATGATGGTAGCCCGCGGGATCGCTAATGCCCGTCACCTCGCCTCAAGGTGCCCTGCGGGATTATTATTATTATTATTATTTGCGTTTAACGTCCGTCCCAGTAACCCATTTCAGTCTATCGATTCACACAATTCGTGTACGAAATACGCTAATTTAGAAGTTAAGGCAAAGGAAACAAAAATGAATTTATATTTTGACCTTACTTAGGCAGATTTTAACGACAAAAAGATCTATTATTGCTTAACCTATTTAATGTATAATGTGTTCATTTTACACAAACCTGTGACTGACAGTAATGAACACAAAAGCCAGGATTAATCCAATTTGGGGAGATTCATCTTTATGTGCCCGAGTTTCTCGATGCCCTTGGTGAATGTGTCCAATTTAAGAAATAAAAAAAGAAATAACATCACGCCTTTTATTACCGAAGGGGAGGCAGAGGTGCACATTATGCCACTGTACAATGTAACACCCACTTTTCACATATTTATGTTATGAGTCCCATGTAATAGGGAGTGAGCCTATTGCCTATAAAAATAGAAATAATTTATATAAAAACCAGTTACAGTTAACTTTCATACCATTGCCCTAACAATAAAGCATCACGACCAAAAAATACTATCCAATTTGATCAAATAATTCGGGAGATGAGCGCTTACATACACTCATACATTTCTAAGACTAATTTTTATTCACAGAGAAGATATGCCCCATATGAACAAAAAATCATATATAGGTAATTATTATTTAATTCCAATCGCGTCCTTGACATTATGAAAGGCGCATTGGAAATTTATTTCGAGTCAAAGGTCAAGTATTTAAAAAATAATAATGTTGCTATTTAATTATAGTCTCATTCAGAAATAGAATAGGTTGAATAGTTAACGATAGAACATTTCTTTAGGTGCTATACCTATTTGTATAATATTATAGATTAAAATAATTATTGTTAAATCAAAGGGAAGTTCTGCCACTGACAACCGACTGAATAGTCGTGTTTTAGAATATGATTAGTTTACTTTTTTTTAATATGATAGCTAGTAGTCCCGTTCATCATCAACAGCCTATAAATGCCCACTGCTGAGCAAAGCCTCTTCTCACACGGAGAAGGTTAGAGCATTAATCACCACACCTGCTCAATGCGGGTTGGCGATTTCAAACTTATAATTAGAAATTATAAGTCCAGGTTTCCTCACGATGTTTTTCCTTCACCGTTTGTCAGTGGTGTCTAAATAATCTTAGAAAGTACATATAACTCGGAAAAAGTCACATTGGTACTTGCCGTTGGTAGGTTTCGAACCCGCACCCTCATGCATGAGAAGTGGGCGTCTTAAACCTCCGGGCCACCACGACAATTGTAGTAGTCACAGTAGTAACAGTAGTCCCGTTCAATTGTAATTAATTGTGTTGCATGAATAAACCCTTTATTATTTTTTATAGAATAACCCGGTAAACGAGCAGACGGATTACCTGATGGTAAGCAATTGGCGCCGCCCATTGACACGCGAAACACCAGAAGCGTTACCGGCCTTTTGAAGATCAGGAATTTGAGGATTATTAGGAAATTTGCGGATTGAGGAGGCGGTAATTGGGCCTTCGGTAAAGTCTCTAAATAACGAATCATAATTCTGAAATAGTCCAAACTTCCAAGTAGGACTTATCTAGAAAATAGTTCTTGCTTAACTTCACTCATTATATACATAAAGTTTATTTTTAACCTTGAGTGACAACTTGTGGTTGTCGATGATGACGGGTATTATGTTTCTACATCTGTATCTTTTTTATGGAATAGGAGGCAACACAGCAGATTGATCACCTGATGATAAGCGATCAGCGCCGCCCATGGGCACCCGCAACACCAGAAGAGTAACAGGTGCGTTGCCGGCTTTTAAAAAAGAATACGCTCTTTTCTTGAAGGTTTGAAGGTTGTATGGGTTCGGAAATACCGCCGACGACCACAGATCATTCTTTTCTTTAGTCTTGTAGGTAAGTACATCGTATTATAGGTAGGTACATAAATATTGAGTCCAGTGCATGGCAATAGGCTCGACCGATATTTGATACATTGGACTCAAACCATGACCTCGTCGTAAACCTAAAAGCATTACTTTGGTTTAACTATCTTTTTTCATGGGATAAGCCAGTGAACGAGCAGACGGATCACCTGATGGTAAGCAATCGGCGCCGCTATTTAGGGATTAGAAATTTAAGGATTGATAGGTGTACAGGGATTGGGGAGGGGGTAATTGGGCCTCCAGTAACCTCACCCATACGACGAAACACATCGTAAGCGGTTTTGTGTGAGACCGTGGTATCACTCCGGTCGAGCCGGACCATCGGACGCATGGCTCTCCCACACTTAGCAAATTTCAAGATGATCCCACGCTCAACTGACAAAATCTACATAATCGTTGGCTTAGCCATGGGAAAAATCTAGTCAAATACACCAAAGAATCGATTTATGACTTGTCGCACCGCAGTTCCTAGAACATTTACACTAGTTCATACAAACACACACTCATCCATGACCTTTTGTATTATGACGTAACACACATTTTTTCAAACTACGTGTGCTACATCACAATTTATATAATGGCCATATTGATGTGAATTATATGACATTCTGATGTGACTCTTCTATAATTCTCAATATCTTTGTCATAGGCTTCGAGATCCTGTTATAAATGTGATGCCATGATTGTGAGTAAGGGTTTATTTCGCTATTGATTATTGCAACGTAAGGTATAATACTAATTTTTACACGTGGCTTTGCGTATTACTGTTTTATCCCATGGGAGCATTTAATCGAGATAAAAAGTCAGCCCATACCCTACCTGTATACCACATCATCATCATCATCATCAACAGCCTATAAATGCCCACTGCTGAGCAAAGCCTCTTCTCACACGGAGAAGGTTTGAGCATTAATCACCACGCTTGCTCAATGCGGGTTGGCGATTACAAACTTATAATTAGAAATTATAAGCCCAGGTTTCCTCACGATGTTTTCCTTCACCGTTTGTCAGCGGTGTCTGAATAATCTTAGAAAGTACATATACCTAACTCGGAAAAAGTCACATTGGTACTTGCCGTTGATTTTCCTCCCTTACAAAATAAAACAGTAGTATACATGTGTAGTACCCTTTACTCTTTCCACGAGGGGCTTAGAACCAAGAGCCAAGGAGGGAATACTACTTTTGATCTGAACCAGTCCAACCCACCAGCCGAATGGAGAGATTATGACAAAGACTACTATATGAAGGAACCTACCTTCTGGAGGCCCTAGGGTTTGCTATTAACCGCCCCAACCACTAGACTGAAAAGCAATGCTGTGAGCAATATATGAAACTGAGTCATGTTCATATCGAATTAAACACAGTAGGCCAAACCGCTCATCGATTCCAAAAAAAAGAAAAATAATAATAAACTCAAGTTAATTAAATAATTCGTGTCTCTAATAGAATAATCGGTTGCTAAAAGCAACCTGTCAAACATCTAGGATCTGTTTCTGATGTAATATGAAGATGAGAAGTTTCAAAAGTGGCCGGTGCCTTCGTCAAGGTCGTTGGCGATCGTCCGTTCAATACATGACCGCCACTCGTGCGCACATCAGTACGGGGTAGCATACAGCATGGACAAGACTTTGATAGTGTTTGCGTGCCTTTGTGGCTTCGGTAAGTACATAAAAATTATATTATTTAAATAAAAAATAAATTAAGATAAAGTGAACCTTATTTTTTAGTAGGTACGAGTAAGGTTGCTTTTCTTATGATTTTTTTTTTTTATATAAAAAAAAATATTCTCGTAATTATATAACCAAATTTTCGGTTGAATTTTCTCATAGTAATGAATTGAAATGAGATCGTCTCGCGTTTAGTTTATTCATTAAAACTCTAGGAACACACGTGTCCTATACATATTCTATAGGGATTCCATTAACTTCTTGTTCTAATATAAACGGGTTCTATAGACTAATTAGCGAATAATTATCTTGTTAAATGGCTAAAGCTAGGACTTAACAATGGAGAAGACCGTAATTATATTGTAGATATGATTATCTACATGACACGCTCTCGGCTGCTTAATTTAACAATTGTTTTAAGTAGATAATTAAATTTGTATAAAGGAGTTTCCTTAATTTTTTATGCTGGGTTACGCGTATTAAATTCACAAGTTTGACTCATTACGTATGTTAGAGTTGTTAGGGATACTGTTTTTTGTGATAAAATATCTCGTTAGGTAAATACGTACATAGCTAACTAGGAAATATCGAGCCTTTTGTCCCCGATGGGGTAGGCAGAGGTGCACTTTACGGCAGTAAATGCCACTGTAGGTACAATGTAACACCCACTTTTAACTATTTATTTATGCTATGAGTCCGATGTAATAGGGGGTGAGCCTATTGCCATAAACCGGGCTCAATGCCAGACTCCATGCTACTACTGTTTTTTTTTAACCGAAATCGAAACTGAGACCTCTTGCCCGGCAGTAGCACTTGCGACTACTTGGTCAACAAGTCAAAATTTTTACTATTTTCCTCTTATAATATCTTCTGATTCACTTCGTTGCGGGAATCAAGACAGTTGACACTTATTCATGTCCCTGAGACGCGCCGGACTTCACTGTTCCGGTGTTTTCATGGTTGTATCTACTGTATATCCTGGCTTACAGCAGTTTTGGGAGGTCGTGGCGGGCTTGTCCCTCTATAAAACATAACCCTTCTAAACGCTTAAAATGAAGAAATTTCGGTTGATAACGACGACAAGTCTATGAAGGCAGCCTCTAAAATTATTACCTAAGCTTTATCTAACTCTAGACTTTTAGATTTTGGTCTAGACAAACTTCTTTGTTAGTTTAACAGTAAACTTATGACGCGGAATGCATATTTTGTAACATTCTGCGTATTTTAGCATAAATATCTCCATAGAAATCATGTTGCTTCACTAACACACGAATGTGTGTCGTAAAATGCGATAAATTCTCATCACATATTTGAGAAGATGAATTTTAAAATGACTTAATACGATGCAACTGTGAAGTTCGGAATATATTAAGAACTACAAGGTTAAGATGGCACCTCATTTACATAATGAACTAATATAGTTTGAGTAAAGACTGTTTGTTTGACTTGAATAACGAAGTTAAATGGGGAAACAAGATGTTTAGAATTCGTTAGAAGGATAACACAAATTAAATATATTGGGTAGATGCCTAATCTTTATTTGAATGTCCGTCTGGTAGATTATTTTAAATCATTAGACACGTATTTTTTATTTTCTTACAGAAACGAATACTTTCGACGATATATTGATTTGAAATGTCGCGTGACGTCACTTCTATGTACATTTTATACGTAGAAATGACGTTTTAGCCCCAACTTCTTAACTGTGATTCGTTTTATCTAAGTATTGTTTTATTATACGACAAAATAAAAAAATACGTCTCTAATATTTTTTTATTAGCTAATACGGATACGGACTAATTAGATTTTTCATTTTCATACCCTCTCATCATCCCAATTGTAGCAGTTAAACGGCAATAAATGTTTTTGAATAGGTGCCTTAACAAAATAAAAAAAACTATGTCATGTAAGAATTCGCTATCGATATAAATAATTAGGTACATAATGTATTGTTTATTAATCGCCGATTTGAAGATTTATTTGACCCGTTAATGGTAAAATAACATTTAAAATCACTTGCAAAGGTCACTAATGCGTTAATAATGTGCTACAACGGAGTTTCGAACAGCCTTTTGAGTTTAATTTAATTGCAAGGGAACAAGATGGCGGTGAGATTATCAAACCACAAAGGATTGCAATATATAGAAACTTAAATAGATAATTGTATGGTGATTAATTTGTTTATTGTTTCATAAGTCAATCTTTCTTTAACCGACTTTAAAAAAATAAAAGGTTCTCTGTTTGACCTGTATGTACAGTCCGTCAAGTAATTTGGTATCCAGGTAAGAAAGTAAAGATTGATTCAGTATAGAGATAAGTGAAACTATTGGTCGGCTAAAAAGCAATATAGACAATATAGACGTTCCGTTTACACCCTACATGTATATCTATATTATATCGATCTCTATTTTCCTACCTGTAAACCAAATAATTTTGCTGACTGTACCTGTACGTATGTATGTGTGTGTGAATGTTTGTGCGCGATTGAATCGCGTCTGAATCGATTTTGATACGGTTTTCAGAAATGTGTTTTTTACACTTAGGAGGTTTTAGTATATTAATTAACCGACTTTAAAAATAAAGAGGGGTCTTTTTTAGGGGGGAAAATCATCGAATGAATGAAGGGGAAAATAAAAAAGGTTTGAATTCGGTTTTTCATTCAAGAATTATTATTCAAATCCTTACGTTGTCGTATAAGTCTATCTCCTCGGAGAATGAGAATGTGATATTATATTAACATCTAATGAATATTCACAAGTAAAGTAAAGTAACTAAACATTTCAAAAATATTTCATCAATTCTTGAAAAGCGATTCGCTTTTCACTCAAGATGACATCAACAAGATACCGAAAATTCAGTTTTATTCCTTAAGTTATTGTAGTGAGTAATACTATAAACATTGTTGAGATTTTTGCACACTGTGAATAACCGAATGTTGTAAGACTTGACATATAACATTATGAGGGTATGAGACATCGCTTTCACGTGTAATCTGCGCAACCAATCTTGATAGGTACACCTAAAAAGGTTTGGGTATTCTTAAAGTAGCTACTTCCACGCGGTTTCAACCACTCTGCTCGGCGCCTATTGAACACAGCGTGATATTTTATAGCCTATAACGGTCCTCGATAAATGGACTATCCAACACAAATATAATATTTCAAAGCGGACCAGTAGTTTCGGAGATTAGCGCGTTCAAACACACAAACACTTCAGCTTAAGAGTAATAAGATAGTATCTTTGTTCGTAACTTTAGCCCGACTTCAAACAAGGACAAAAATCCCCAAAAATCAAATTTTTCCTGATCCCATACCATGGCACTAAAATCAATATTCTCTTGTCTTCTAAAACCAGTTGGAATGACATAGAAAACCTTTCTATTTTTGGGAACAACGACTAGGAAATGCGGGATTCAGTAATGGTCACTTTTAGCAACTAAGGGCCACCGGTAGATTTAACAAAATTTATTTCAATTGTAACATTCTAATAATATTTCTAATGTACTTGATATATTTGTATGTCTATTACGGCAAAACATAGTGGACCATCTTTATATGTAAGACCTTATTATGTAAACTACCTATGTTTAACAAATAAATGATTCTGAATCTGATTCTGATTCTACACTAATTTCAAAGCCAATTAACACTACCCTATGGTGCTATAAGGAACGTCCCACTAGATCTTTTTGACTATATGTTGCCTCTTAATCACTTAGTAACTAAAGATTCAATACATTGCTTTCAAAAAGACTTTCATACAACCATGTACTTAGTATTCCTACAACATGCCCATAGATCACCATAAGATTTTTCTACATACGTTGTGTACGAAAATGAGTCAACACTAACTGTTTTATCATTCTTCTCTCGCTCAATAAGCCATGGATAATCTCCGCAAATCTCCACTGACATACATTATTGTAGATCCCACAAAAGAGCTACTATTCTCAGTATTCCGTTCAAAACATTTTTTTTCAATGTAACATTTGCATAATAATGATTCATTCCGGTCATTCCCGATGATTTGAGTTCTCAAAATAGATGCTAAGTGCTGGCTTAGTGCTTTAGCTTCAATTGAAATTCAAAGTAGGTTCTTACAACTTATGACAAAACCGCCTATTTCTGCATAGATTTCGTGTTACTATACCGAAAATGTTACTTTACTGAGTATTTTTAGTTTTTCCTGTGTATGACATTTTCTTAACCGACAATTAAGAGCAAAAACCAGTATTTTTTTTACTTAAGCCGGTAAACGAGCATACGGATCACCTGATGGTAAGCAATCGCCGTCGCCCATGGACACCTTGAACACCAGAAGCGTTACAAGTGCGTTACCAGCCTTTTGGGGATTAGGAGTTTGATGATCATTGGGGATTCAGGAATTGGGGAGATTGGGGAAGGGGAGGGTAATTGGGCCTCCGGTAACCTTACTCAAACGACGAAACACAACGCAAGCGTAGCTTCACGTCGGTTTTCTGTGAGGCCGTGGTATCACTCCGGTCGAGCCGGCCCATTCGTGCCGAAGCATGGCTCTTATATGCAATAGGTTCATTCTCTATTATTTAGGATTCATGTCCAACCAAAGTACCAGTACCACATCAACTCTACTAGTGTCTTTACATAATATTAATTTTCTAATATTTTCCGCAGCCGCCGCTCAATTCAATAACTTCGGCAGCTTTGGTGCCTCATCAAACGCCGGAGCCTACAACAACTACAACAGAGGCCAGCAGCCGCAGAACAGACAGGTCCAGGAAGCACCCAGACCCACTGGAGTGTGCAAGGAGCTGAACGAACGGTACCCCGTGTCTGGAAGCTGCGACAAATATGTCGAATGTCTTGTAAGTATCATCCCGATGATGGTCCCCTATAGATTAATGACGACATCATTTTTTATGAGTTGCCAAGTACCAACTGAAGATTCATACCGAATATGAATTGTTAAATAACTGAGCTAGTCGTGTCTAATGTCTGTCTTTTGCATACCGTTACCTAACTTGCTTGTAGATCTTAAGTAAATAAGGATTTAGTAGATAATACTAACGGCAGATGGTCAGACGACAAACAATATTAGCAAGCAGTGTATGTTCATAATCGCGTAGGTCTGGAGGTTTTTTTAAGAGGGGAAAATCATCGAATGACTTCTCCCGTCTGGGTGAAGTGGGAGGGAGTGTTAGGCAGACTCTTACTGACTAAAAACCACTGACTGGAGGGTTAAGTCCATTTCTCATGCACGAGGGTGCAGGTTCAAAACCTACCAACGGCAATTACTAATGTAAATTTTACCGAGTTATATGTACTTTTCTAAGATGATTTAGATGCCACTAACAAACGGTAAAGGAAAATTATCCAGAGATTCTCAAATAGGGGCCTGAAAATGCGGCGAAATGGTTCTAGTAAAGGATGGTACGGCGGTGTTTGCTTCGCACTCGACTTGTCGGGGGCATGGCAGTGCGTGGAGTTTCCACACGATATCTGGGGAGATATCGTGTGGAATCCTAGGCTTTATAATTTCTTATTATAAGTTTCAAATCGCCAACCCGCATCGAGCAATTGTGGTGATTAACGCTCAAACCTTCTCCATGTGTGAAGAGACCATTGGTCAGCAGTGGCTTCTTATAGGCTGTTGATGACATTCATAATGCACTTAATGATTCCTAATCCACTATTAATTCTAGTTACCACTTAAATATCTCAGGTTTCTAAAACCCATCCATCTTCAAAAGTTCCAACTAAAAACTGCATATGCAATTCCCTTTTTAATCCCAGACAACAATTTCCATTCATGAACCTTCAGCCTAAAATATTCACGAATGCGTGTGGGAAAGTGTTGACACACTTGGATCTTACTTTTAAAATAGGTCGTGACTATATTAAAGCCAGTACAAAGAGACAGACAGACATAAACGCCATTCTTTTGTGTATATGTGTATAATCACACGTCGCGTCTCATGAATAATTCGCTTAATAATCGCAGATTCTGGTAATAAAGTTCGTGTTATTCGCTAAACGTGATGCGAATTTGATATTTGTGATTATTATTAGCTCATTAGGTTTTGTCTTGTATCTATACGGATATTGTGATTGGGGATTTTATTGCTATTTTTTATAATTATGTTTTTAATGTTGCCAGGCACTGGGACAAAATAAGACTAGATACAAATACTTATGTGTCTAATTGTGTTTTGTGTATAGCTACTAAAACCTATCTGGAAGCTTATTTGGAATGGATTTGTGTATTTTAAAAGCTTTGGATACCTTGTAATGATTGGTCGTCTGGTTGGCCAAATTACGCCGTTTATGCGACTTACCTAGGCCTGGAATGTATCATAATTGTAAAATGAACTTCTAGATCTGGATATTTCTCTTTCCTCTCCTTAGAATATAAAATTAGAGTCATGCTTAGGAATAAATAGCATCAAATGAAATATTTACCACGCGTTGACCATTAGCAATTTGACCTATGACATTACTGGTCAAAACGACTCAGTATACGCATTTTAAGCATTAGGTCAAGAGAATGGCTCGTAACAACTGCTAAATATTGTGTTCACAATTATTTTGCAATTTTTATTTATAGAATTTGTACACACTGTTATATGAAGTAAATAATGCATCTCATCATCATAATATCAGCCACAGGACGTCCACTGGTGAACATAGGTCTTCTCCAATGACTTCCAGATAGGCTGGTTGGAAGCGACTGGCATCCAGCCGCTCCCTGCAACCTCAATCAGGTCGTCTGTCCACCTTGCGGATGGACCTCCTACGCTGCGCTTGCCAATAATGCATCTGATGAAACTTATTTCCTGTAATGCACAACAGTTTAATAAAAACAGCCAATGATGATAATGGTCATATACTCAGTACTGGAATGTTTAGGATTAATAGATAATAAATAATACATTTTCTTTTGTCCATAGAACGGAACTGCTGAAGAAAAGCTGTGCCCTGACGGTCTTCGCTTCAACCCCAACGTGAACTTCAACGTGTACCCGTGTCAATACCCCAACGAAGTGTCATGCCTCGAGCGATCCGCGCTACGTGAGTAGAATTGCAGATTTTATTTATAATACAAAACCAGAGGTACTCAAAGTTTTTTGCATAGCATGATACTTTTCCTTTTTGTAGAAGTAAAACGATATCGTCAATTAATACCACCCGATTATGTCCCATTAAGATTTATTTGTAATGAATGTCATGATTTGAATTGAATATAGAAGCTGTTCAAAAATAAAACTTTAATTAAAACGCATGAAATCCTTTTTTAAAATGAACGATATCAACGTATTCTGGTTGATGATGACAAAACCATAAAATTATAAAAATTATTGATTATCTTTTCCGTTCATTACTTAACCTACTGATATATAAACGCAGTTCCTCACTCTACCAGGGCCTAGACAAGGACCTATTAATCTTCGAATACTTGTAATTCTTGTAAATACATGTCACTATTTACATAGTTTTAACGCGTCTGTGGTTAATGTTCAACCCTGAACTTCTATCGTGCCTAATGAGCCAAATTGGTTTTCCATTAAATTATCATAGGTCAAGGTTTTTAGATTTGATGACCCGTAAATGTTGAGTACCGTAGTCATTATTATCATCGACTGATCTTATTCTTCTTGCCGCCTTTCGCAGATTTTAGATTAATTCAGATATATCCACCTTTAATTCTATTTCTGATACATGGTGCGTGTTCAGAATGTTTATTGCGCAAACAATGTTCATTTGTCAAGGTAACCCAACTGAAGATGTTATCGAGATTAGGCTCATTTCATATTAATGTCAGGAAAACAGGCTGCTTTACGAAATGGATTGGTTCGATGATTTAATTCATGGACATCTATGGTGTCGAAAGTTCTGACTAACTGATTAATTTTATTGCATGTCACATCTTGTTAACGAATTGTCTGACTTTACCCTTAACATATTCAATTGGTAGAAGAAGACGTTCTATACTAAATAATTTAAGTGGATACTAATACCAGAATTTTAGTATCTGTACGAAATCTGGTTTGCCACCATTTCTAACTAACAATAAGCACATCTCCCTCCTCCGTAGAATAACCAGCTCCAACATATATATCAACAACATTTACCTAAATTTCAGAGCCTGCCCAGCCGACTGAACAATGCGAGCACCAGTTTGGATACTACAAACTCGGAGACACCCGCAATTGCAGTTACTTCAGAAACTGTGTCAATGGAGTAGGTTACGACTTCCAGTGCCCTGAAGGTCTTGCCTGGAGCTCATCTTCCTACCGCTGCGAGTGGCCTGATGAGGTCGACGACTGTGATGCTGAAGGTAAAAAAAGAATAGTCTTATAATCTTTCATCATAAAAGAACAAAGGTTAGAGCTAAACAAGGATAGGTTTGGTTAGGAATACAGTATGAAATAACTAAGGAAATGAACTGAACTGAAATGAATTAAAGGTTAAACTTTCAGGGGGGCTACAGACAGAAACAGAACTTTTCTATGAGTATAGTATTAAGAGTTAATCATCTGCCAAGATATATTATAATGAGAATATTCTTGGCCATTGCATGTCAATCTAGACCTAGGAAAGGATTGGGTTATAGTTTTGTATGATTATCCCTATACTCGTTTCCCATCGGACCAGTTTCTCAGCACGTGCAGTAATTACAAATTAATTCACTAATTTCAATTTCTAATTAATATCCTTGTTCGTGAAATATAAAAAGTTGTAGTCATACTTGTTTATCGGCTTAGAAACTCATTTTATTATTTATATTACATATTTCATCGGTCTCTTCCTTTTTTTCTTTTGTTCTATTAATATTAATTTTAATTTAAATTCCTTGTTGGTATGTTCTCTTATGACTTAATGCAGAGAAATATGTACACTCTTTGATATCTTTACATTTACTTCGAAGGTTTAAATCCATAATCCCTGGCTTGCATAGGCTGAACTGGTCCCATTTCACCGCAGACTTTGGACATAAATATTATTGAATATGTACCCATTAGTATTTATAAACAAACAGTATAATCTGTACATATCATCTGTTTTTAGCGCGTGAAATAAAGGTTATTTCTTTCTTTCTTTAGTCTGGAACTGTATTCTTCCTACTGCATGGAAATTGGAACCTTACTGACCAAAATGTCCATTTAATAGGCCCTTTCATTTACTTACCCTTCAGAAAATAACAGGGAGTATCTTAAGTTCTACATTATTCTCATCTTTGTTATCTATTTGAACCTCTTTGACAATTTCCACACATGGGTTACTTAACTGATAAACAAGTCGTGCGGTCACCGTCCCTATTGTGAAAATATTTGCCACTTATGAAATGAGCCTACCTATGTCGTAAAATTCAATACTCACAGTCACCCAAGATATAAAGAACTCAGTTTTAACAAGTTCTTTGTTTTCCTTGTGTCTTGTTGATGAAGACTCTACCTACTTACTAAGCGTAAGATGTGAATCTTTTATAGGTACTGTTTAACCATTGTATCATATTATGTATAGACCAATAGTTATGCAGGGCAATCTTTAAGATCTCTTGCATTCAAACTTTTAGGAAAAAATACCTGCAAATCGTTCCATAATATCCATTATCTTAAATTTAAGGCCCAGTGCCAACCTCAACTTATGTCAGAAAAGACCACGATGATCTAATAGAAAGTAGTCCACTCTTAATCAAGTTTCATAAAGCCTAAGTAAATCTTATTTGTTTCAGCTTTCCTCGGATTCCGTTGCCCCGAGGTCCCTGTCTCCAAGGAGCTGGGTGCCCCCGCTGGCTTCAGATACTACAGGTCCGTATTACCGTATTACTTAACATGTGCAATATTTAATTTATATGCCAAATACTCAACTATTATTAGAGTGATAGATATTGAAATGCCAAGAACTGGTTACTTAATAGGCGACCGGTCAGCAGTGTATGCTTAAATGTCATCGGATGAGATGTGACCTTGCTTACATAACCTCGTTATTAGAAATACCAGCGGTTTGCTAACGTCCTCTTATGACGCACTAGTTGAGCTTGCGACTCCGTCTACTTTGATTCCAGTGCAATTACAATTTAAAATTATCTCTCTATGACACGTTTATCTGAATGGTAACTTGTATAAATGTAAATAAGATTTGAAATTGATTTCTGGGTTAGAGAATTTTTCATCGAACAACTTGTCACACCCGGCTAAGGTGAGAGGGAGTGTCAGACTCATATTGAGTAACAACCATAACTAGATGAAGTTTAAAGCGCTATAAGAGATTTTACAATTCCATTAATAGCGCACTAGGTCTAATCAAACCGTCATAACGATGCTTAAACATGATGAACAATAATTTTTTTAAATTTCTTATACCAACAAATCAAGAGATAAACAGACAAACAATTAATGTATTTCTTCCTTTTAAATGTTGAGATGATATTTAGGTATAGCTGGTACTTATGTATATTACACATTCTTGTGGTACCACTTTTTATAAGTCAGTCAAATACCATCTCGTTTTATTTCGCTTTGAGACGATTTTTCTCAGAATATGACCTCGGGCTCGGACGGGCAATGTCAATAGTTGCCTAATTTATTAGTCTTCATCTCGTTTATAATTATGATATTTGATGCATGAATGCAAAAAATTCTTCCATTAACGAAAAATGTAAGGTCATTATTGACATTCATAGTGTTTGCATTACAAATTGTGTTTAGACTAGACTGGTTTATTGATTGAATGTTAGTGCTAAGCATAAGTTTTAGGCACTACTTCCCATTTCATGCCAAATCTTTTAATCGACTTCAAAAATGGAGGTTCTCAGTTTAACCTGTACATACATACAGGTTAAACTGAGAACCTCCTTTTTTTGTTTGTTTGTATGTAGATATGCTTGTATGTATGTTTGTGGGCGATTATCTCGCGATTGGCTCAGCCGATTTAGATGGATTTCGATTATAAATTTTGGGATTTTTTGGGATGAATTTGGAAATCAGCCACGTATACTCAAACCCATGTAGAGCATTGTATACTCTTACTACTACGCTACTAACAATTATTGTCAATATTACAGGGCCGAAAACAACTGCCAGAAATACTTCCTCTGCATCGGCTCCAAGCCCCGTGTGCTCTTCTGTGGCACCAACACAGGTTATGATGAGCTGACGAACACCTGTGTCTCAGCTGACGAAGTCCCTGCCTGCCCTTCAGAACTCAGGGCCCAAGCTGCCCGCGTCAGGGAGGAAGAAAAACAACTCCTCGCCAAAGAACTGGAATTCAACGCCAAAACGACAAACAAGAGGCGTTACCAATTTAACTAAATTAATAAACCTCACAATAGCATCAAATGCCATCCCCGATGCACATTTTGAGACAACCCTGTTTCAAAATTACTTCTAGTCTAAACTTACACTTGAGTTACCAACGTATGTGTTATAGAGTACGCTACTTGTTTTATTATTTGTATTGTTATACATTACCATCTCCCCAGTTTTGTACCAGGCAACCATGCCAACTAACACTAAGAATTTAGGGTAAGACTACATATCATAAGCATTAACTGTTAAGCAAGAAGTTTCTATGTTTTGTATTTTATTATGTTCAACTACAACATTGTCGTTTTAATCTACATCTTCTTAGAAGAATGATACCAGTACCAAAATAACGGTATTATCACTAAATTGTATTGTCTCGTTACAATATTACAATAAAATGTCCGAAATTAAGAACGTGTTTTTAATCACCCTGGATTTTACCACAGTACTGTAAATTTCTTTACAATTAACAAATGACAATTAAGTAGATACTAGTTAATGATAACAATTTTTTGGTATAAAAACTAAGTGTGTCGAGGTTATTGTCACCATTCGAGCTTTGGACATTCAAGGAACAACAGTACCTACAATAAAAACAAAATGTTTACCTACATTTGTGCCGTCCTCATCGTTGCCTGTAAGTAATTTTCTTTATTTTAGATCATTGATTTTTGTCTTTTCAGTTTTACTATTATCTACCCTATAAATTTCATTTCATTGAAACACTCAATGTCTTTCCTTATTCCTGTAAAATTTTTAAATTCAATTTTCTATTCAAACTTTGTGGACTATAAAAATATGGTCATAGTTCTGTACAATTTCAACTAAATAATATGTATAATAATAGAAAAATGTAATGGTTAAACATAAAGTGATCCTTTACCTATGTTCGTTATACTATAGTGAACTCAATATTAAATACCCTACATTTCTTTTACACAGGCAACATTCAGGTAATCCTATCGGAAGATGCGCAGTATGTGCGGAGTCCCATTTGCCAACAGAAAAATGGTTACTACAAAGTGGACGCTAGCTGCGACGCTTACGTAGAGTGCCTCGTAAGTAATTTTTATATTATTAATAACGAAACAATCAAACCGAAATATATCTGATTTATATCCTATCCAACGCAGTCAAACGCCTTAGACAGATCCAGAAATACTACTCTTTAAACATATCTCAAAGAGACTTCTAACTATTTTCTTTCAGTCATTATTAAGTAATATATAATTATTCCACAGAATTACCAAGCCATTGACATGGTCTGCCCTGATGGTCTTCACTACGACCTTGAAGCTAAATGGCCTGGCTACCCCTGCGGATATCCTATGGATGTACCCTGTGTAGGCCGTGGTGCTGCCCGTAAGTAACAGAATCAAAATTAATGTTTGAAAAAAATGGAAGTAAAATAATTCACATTAATTTTCATAGCATGCCAAATGCTATAAAAAATCTGGCAGGCCCATTTACACTACTTCATTAAACAAAATGTCTGCAGCTAATATACTTGCACGGGTCATAACCTAAAGCTTAACACCTACCTATTTAGTAATTTCAATAAACTATAACAACTAATCTCCTTTCTTGCAGAGGCAGCTCAGCCAACAGCAGAATGCCCTCACCAGTACGGCTACTTCCCATCACCCCTCGCCACGGTAAACTGTGGCCAGTACCGTATGTGTATCGGAGGCAAGGCTATAGAAATGAACTGCCCCGCTGGTCTGGCCTTCAACCCTGAATCTGGACGGTGCGACTGGCCTGACCAGGTCCCTTCATGCAAAGCTGATGGTATGTATTGTTTTATGTTATATTTTAGCTGACCCCGTGCAAGTTGATCTATTTCGACCTTTAAATGCAGAACTTCATCGTACTTTGAAAATTGCTGTTTAATGTTCTGGCAGCAATGCATTTGCATGCTTACTATGGATTTCAAAGTGAACAATTTAACATAACATAACATCACGCCTTTTATTTCCGAAGGGGTAGGCAGAGGTGCACATTTCGGCATGCCACTGTACAATGTAACACCCACTTTTCACTATTTATGTTATGAATCCCATGAAATAGCGGGTGAGCCAGGCACAATTCCCGACTCCGTGGTACTACCAGGGTATCGAACCCGAGACCCCTAGCCCGGCAGTTGCACTTGCGACCACTCAGCCAACGAGGCAGTCAACAAGTTACTAATATAATTAATTACATTACAGACTTCCTCGGATTCTCCTGCCCTGCTCCCCCAGTTGATGCTGACGGTGCGCCCTTGGACGTCGTCCTAAACTACAAGTAAGTAAAACTTATTGGTTTTTTTTAAAATAAATCAACTAAATTGTTCAAGGCTCCATCAAATCATTGTCAAATATACTCGTATTGTATACAGTACATATCATACACACCAGCTGATATCATAGTTGAGAAATAAGCTATGAACCACATCCATCTATTGCTCTAAATCAGCTTTATTGATATAGATGTTCTTACACAACTTACAAATTGTTTACTATTATACCTTATTGACCATTGCTTTCATTATTCACAGATACAACAACAACTGCTACTATTTCTTCTCGTGTGCCAAGGGACATGCTCGGCTACTCGCCTGTGATGAGGGTCTTGCCTTCGACCCTGCTTCGGGAAAGTGCATCGAAGCTGAATACGTCGACTGCGGATCCAACCATTAATAACTGCTTTAAATAATTAATAGTCGAATTGAAATAATAAATATTTATATATGATATGTCTGTCTTTCTCTTGTTATTCATTCTACCAAGTAATAACTTCAGTTAACGCTAAATTATTTAACTGTTTTACATGTTTTACAATTTACCTGTAACTAGAGGTACATAAATGTCAAAGAAAAAATATTGACATTAAAAAATAGGTAACTTAATTATCTTTAACTTAAAATTACTTAGGCAATAAAGATTAAAACAAGAATTAACTTAATGAAAGTATGATTACAGTATTAATTGCTATTTCATTACAAAAGCCATTTGTTAGTTATAATATACACTTAGAAACAGATAAAAAAATATTTTTTATTTCTTCTGTATTTAACTAACTATTTCAACCAACTTCTGACCGCGGCTTCGCCCGCGTTCCCGCAGCCTATGTGTTATTCATACATACATACATAACTTCACGCCTGTCTCCCATGGGGGTCTCCCAAGGCAGAGACTAAGGAACGCCAATTACTACGATTCTTACATACCTCTGTCGCTTCATTAACAGTCATCAATCTTTTCATGTTATTCCATATACCATAATATACCACTGTTCCAAATTTCTACCCCATCCCTTCACCCGTTTTGATGTGATTCAGTTACAAATACACAAACTCACAAACTTTGGCATTTATAATATTAGTTACAATTTCCTACGTAATGAATCAAAAAATCTGTAGATATCACACTATTAAATGATAAATCTATATATCTATATCTATATCTATACATATAATAAAATTGTAGAAAAGTGCTGTCTGTACATTGAAAATAAAAAAAAAATAGCAGGGGTTATTGTTATGTCGATGTCGAACCCAAAAATGTAATTAACTTTTTTTTGTCTGTTTGTCTGTTCACGCTAATCTCAGAAACGGCTGATCCTAGTTGGATGCGGTTTTCACGAATATATTGTGGTATGCTTCAGTTATGTTTTAGTGTTTGTTTCATGTCAATCGGTTCATAAATAAAAAAGTTATGTCAAATTAAAGAATCACGTCGTGAGTATATATTTAAAAAAAAACGCTGCTCATAGTCACTATTCCACGCGAACGAAGTCGCGGGCACAGCTAGTTTTCAATATTTTTTTCTTTTTTTATTTTATTTGACTTGTAGTCAAGCCTGTTCACCCCTTTCCTGGCCACTCTCAACTTACTTGTGAAACAAGTGAATTTATTTCTGCAAATAGGCTACAAGGCAGCACTTTTACACGTAAATTTTATCAAGCGAACGATGAGGCCGACATTTCCTAACTGACTACTCTGAGAAGAAATGGCGAAACAAACTCAGAGGTCCGTCTCTTTTCATTTGTATTTGAAACTTGTATTTGAAATACCACATGTTATTTTATCCAACTTGGGAAACGAGAGACCTCATCCTCTTCTACATTGTGTATAATGTAGTAAAATTATAAATAAATAAATCGCCTAAAATCTGATTGCAAAATTGTAATATAATTGTCTCGTTGTGTTTTAATTTTATCGACTTTGAGAAGGCTTTCGATAGTGTCGATTATTGGATTATGCTCCCTTTGTTGCAGCCTTTATGTTCAGCACGTTGCTATACTAGAAATACGATAGAGTTATCATGCAGGTCTGACTACGGAAGCTTTTTACTATATTAAAGTAAAATAAAATAAATCAGAGTAGGAGTGCTCCAGGGACATATCATTTCACCAAAAATCTTAATCACTGTCTTGAGAGACGTATAAAAATTAGTACAAAAATGTATCGTGTGTCTTCATTATCACAAGAAATAGACATATTTAGTGAACTCAAAATTGATATGCCATTGTAGATAATTGCTGGCCCAAGGTTCTGCCATCAGCCACTTTCCGATTCCATCCAGAAACCAAGTCAATGGCACCATATATTATTACATAGTCATCTAATTTACATACATAACTGCCAAGCATCATATTGATGCAACTATTGTATAGAGTAATTGAGTATAGTTGAGAATCTTACATTGCTCATTGGTAATTATTGGCCGAACTAATAAAAGAGTGTTAAGGAGAAAACCGCGCCGTGAGTCCTTAGCCTTAAAGAATAACATAGATAACATAACATCACGCCTTTTATCCCCGAAGGGGTAGGCAGAGGTGTACATTATGCCACTGTACAATGTAACTTTTCACTATTCATGTTTTGAGTCCCATGTAATAGGGGGTGAGCCTATTGCGATATACCGCGCACAATTTAAGACTCCGATTTTTTTTAAACCCAGTAATTCCTAGGTCCTTGCTAGACCGAAACCGAGACCCGTTGCCCGGCAGTCGCTCTTGCGACCACTTGGCCAACGAGATAGTCTTTTCTTAAAGGGTAATGCCCTAAAATGTATGGAGCAATAAACCAGAATGGGTTTATATCTTATCTTATACTGCTAAATATATAAAGCTGACAAGTTTGTTGTTTCTGAACGTGATAATCTCAGGAACTACGGGTTTGATTCGAAGAGTTATTATAGTATTGGATAGTCCAATTATCGAGGAACGCTATAAGCTATAAAACATCACGCTACGATGAATAGGCGCCGCGGGACGAGTGAAGCCGCGCGGAAGTAGGTAGCTAGTAATTTATATGTGGCAAGGGAGAATACATACATATTTTTTACAATATTTTTTCCAAGAAACTATCACCAAGTAATAAAAAACAGAACAATGGCCAGTTTATCATTATCTAACTTTGTATTATATTTCCATAGATTTAAAAGTTAGTTTTATACTGGATTTTTTGAACCAAATCACATCTTATTATGATAATCTTGGAACATTTTATAGGTTGGACGGGTTTGCTAGCAACAAAACAATAAGTCAGTAAGTCCCGCGCCCAGCTATTGGTGCTTTATAATATGCTGCAGGTTGCTGGCCTATCCGACTATAGTTTTAGACAAAACTATTAACGTATTTGCATTTTCTCTTACGTATGGTCTATTACTGTACTTTGACTGCACGGTTGGTGCGGTGGCTGGGCAACCGGCTGCCGTGCAACGTGTCGTAGGTTCGATTCCCGCGCGGAACAACATTGTGTGATCCACAAATTGTTGTGTCGGGTCTGGGTGTCATGTGTATGTGAACTTGTATCTTTGTAAACGCACCCACAAACGAGGAGAAAATCCTAGGTGGGGCAACGTTTTTTTTTAAAAAAAAAACATATTTGTATCTAGGTACTGTTAATGAATGATTTTAATCGATTCTGGGTTTTTTGGGCACTCTCCGTTATCTGAAGCATAATGTACTTTCATAAATACCTATAAAAACAAGATTGGACCAACTTGATCATCATTTTGTCATAACTGGCCCTTACGTCTATGATAAACAGTTGCTTGTAGTGTTCCTTATACATTTTTTTTTAAGGGGGGAAAAACATCGAATGACTGCTCCCGCCTGGGTGGGGCGGAAGGGAGTGTCAGACTCTTACTGACTAAAAACCACCCCGTTCCTTCTCCTGCACGTCGAGCCGGAGCCCCGGTTACCCGTTAGGTTCTCCGCGTTCCTTAAACATTTGAAGCACAACTTCATTAAAGCACTTAACTTATATGTAGTTACTATACTTACATACTTACACTTCACAGTCAGTTCGGTTAATTAAATAAATTTTGTTCTGGAAGGCTCTAAATTCAATCATTGTTTCTTCTAAATAATAATAATAAAGAAAATATCATGCCACAGCGCAGAGGCATTAAAGAATTCTGAATAAAGTGGATAATATAAGAATAAATATTATGTGTCTAATATTATAGGAAACCTGAAAGACGTGATAGCTACTAGTGATAGAGACAAAACATGGCAATCATCATCCTTGTCCATTCAAAAAACGTTTTGAATGAATGAATCTTTTTTGTTCTGACCCCTAAGATCTTGGGATAATAATAAGAAGAAGATGGAGAAGGAACGTTATTATCTCTTAATTTGTGTTTATCCTTTTTGAGTCCAACACGATGAAGTCAAAGTCAAAAGTCAAAGTCAAAATCATTTATTTCAATTAGACCAGGATGGCACTTTTGAACGTCAAACAACAAAAATTTATAAGTGAACCCATTGTGACAGTATTTCAGACTAAGGCCTTGCCTACGAGAAACAATCACGATGATATAGGAAGTAGTAAAATATGGGACGAAAAATAGCGTCGGTAAAGCTCATATTTCTCTTATATAAGTGAGAAATAAGTTTGTTGCTATTTCTGCCGTATAAAATGTGAAGTTAAACAATTCAACTAAATCTCGATTTTAGACATTAATGAAAAATTTTGATCACTCGTTAACTATGTGGTCAACTATTAGATTAATAGTTGTGGACATTTAATATGAATACACCGATTTAAAGTATCTCTAACGATTTCTAGTACCTTCAATAATCATAAAAAATAACAGTTTTCACAAATGAGGACCCGTCAAATATTTTTAAACTTCTTTAACTTCCTCATTAACAATGACTTCTACTAAAACAACCACATAAAAAATCAATTAGATCCTAATGATTTTAATCGTTCTTGCAATAAATTTCCATTTATAAACGACGGAAAGTAGGGCATTTATATACAGTGAGGTGCATGCTGTCCAACCGAGAGCACCTGGTGCATATCACAACAATGATACGAAGGAAACTGCTATTTATACTGCCATTACTGGTAGGCGGTAAGTCATTATGTCTGTATTACTGGTCTATATAGTTTCGATAAGCTTACTCTTCTATTTACAAGCATTTGTAAACTTTTTTCACCAAACAGTGACGTACGGACAAGTGAATAATCCATACGAGTACAATGGAAGCTCGAACGTGCGATATCAGCTGCCAAATGCACTTTATGGACCAAGGCCACTTCGCGTACCAGGTGAACCTGTATCTGCAGCCCCAGCTCCAGTACAATCTCGAGCAGTTGCGTTCACCAGGAAGGCAGTAACACCACTCCCAATAAACTATGGTGACAAACAAACGATAACTGCTCCAGAAGTGTCAATTCAACCAGAACGTGAGGAAGCAGAGA